AGCTAAATCGCAAGCGTAGTAACTAGTGTTCTGTTTACTGTCCACGCAGTGGTACTCATCTATCGGCATCGGACGGAAAATAGGCGAGAGACTTGACCAGGGCTAGAACCCAGGATCTCTGTTCTGAGTCTGTCGACTCAGGAACTGAGGTGTTTGTGAAGCAATGTGATTAGCAAGTTACCTTGTTTGACAACTCCGAGTCTGCTCCATTTTGGCAGGATCAAAATACAGTGTCCTTATATTCACTAATGGCCGAAATCTCAGGCACTTGAATCCCCCACTATTCGACGTTATGGTTATTACAGCCCCACTTCAGTTATACTTGTCTAAAGTCGGGAGAGCATTTAAGCAGGTCACGATTCCATACATTTGTGTCGGTGCTGCTGCTTGCATTCCGCATAAGTTATTTCTTCATGCTCGACACAAACGATGTCCCAAGAGCTGAAGCTGCTTATATACAGCGTAATTATGTAAATTGATGCAAAACTCCTTCAAGACTAAATTTTATGGGGTGTTCTACCCTCCATTATTCCTGATTGCTAGGAGGCCCTTTAACCAGCTCGATGCTATGTTGTATTTGAGGATTTTCAATATTATATGTATGTGCATTTTGTATTATATGCATCATCAGCAAACTCAGGTTCATTAGAACATGGTATCATTGGATATTGCTCCTTATACACACTGGTTCATGTGCTGAAGTATGACAACAGGCACTGACATCTCAAAAGCACACCGTTTCAGCTGTTCAAGTACCACAGAGTTGAGGACTGCATAAATGTCCACCTTGAAACTAGAAGCAAAGAGGTTGTGCGATGTGCCTCAAAATTTAATCTTTTAGCAGTTATGCGTTATCCTACGTGCTCAAGCGTACGAACAACTTATCATGTTTATGCGGTGTACAGGGAATGCCTGTTCCTGAAACATCGTTGTTAATGAACAGGAGGTTACTGTAGCGAGCAAAAAAATGATACTACAAGAGCTCAGATTTCATGGAGACGCCGACTGAATGAATGCCGCCTCCAAGGGCCATACACTTAGTCATCTAGGAGCAAGGGGGCAGTGCAGCACGCCGTGAAATCTAGTTTTGGGGGAGCAGCGATGCATTCAACCAAAGGGTAAAAACAGTCTGCCAGACAGTTACTTGTTGGAAACTGGTTATCTATATTTAATCTTCCTGTTTAGTAAGTTTCGTCCTCGGTGTATCCCTTCATTTGGTCCAACGATATGCTGTGTTGTACTGTATAAACGGTCTTGTGCTGCATGTTGCACAGCCACAGAGTTCTTTTCGCGTTCCTTCCTCGCCACCTGTGTTTCTCCATTTTGACGTAAATCGACGTTGTGCCATCTAGTCAGGTTGTTGAGGTGTTCCTCTTTCCTCTCTTCCATGGCGCTGCCGGTTTCTCCAGTGTAATTGATACCACACTCACAGGGTAAGGTGTAAATTCACCAGCCTTTTTGTTCGAATTTCGGCTCGGAGGCATCGACGTGCATCAACTGGTTGCACAGTTTTGTTTGGGATATGAACGTTGGCTGTGTTTTGCGCTTAAGGGCGATCCTCCCAGCTTCTCGCTTAGATTTGACGCGAATGGAACAGCAGTGGTGACGTTGAAATTTGTTTGTGCACTTTCAGTTCTTCCATTCATACTCTTCGTTTGCTGACAGCTGATTGCTTGTTCAATCAGTCGGCTATCGTATCCGTTGTTCCTGAGAGCTCGTTACGTGTAGGCTAGTTCTTTTTGGATACCACTGTCCTCTGAACTCAAATCGAAGCATCTGCTTGTGAGAGTTCTAGCCATGCTGTTCTTCACGCAGTTGGCTTAGTTCGAGTCGAACGGCGGGAATTTATTTGTATGCATTGGCTTGTGAAACATCCCAGTAACGTACCTGTTCCCCTCTCACATTATAAATGCGTCCAAGAAAGGTATCTAATAAAATCGTGAATACGATTTCCCCTGTGTACGAGGTGTTAACGTAGTGCAGGAAGCGTGTCTCGAATTGCGACTACGAATGTGTCAGTATGTCATATATATACTATATACTATATACT